GGGTGCTCGCACACCTATATATATGCTGTGTAGACCCCTGTGTGGCCTTGGGGAGCTTACTACTTACTTAGCGGGGCTCCCATTTTGTCACACAGGTACAGCACCCGAGCTGCCCCTCCAAGTGAAAAGCACGTAGCTAGCAACAAGTAGAAGATACTCTGCTCGAATAGAACTCATCATCTGTTACTATCAATGTGTGCCAGAGTCTTGAACTAAACCTCAAATATGAATTTCTATAGTTTATGTACCTCTTTCTAATACTTACTGCCACGCGTGCTTGTGAAATCCAAACCAAAACAACCCCCCACCCCCCCAAAAAAAGGGTTTTTTTTGCCTTCTATCTTTCTTTCCCCACTGCGATACTCGATATAGATGAAACACTTTATGCTAGAAACCCCGAGCGTTATTACTTCCAGTAGGTCCAGCCGTCGCAGAACTAGTAGCTGTCTTGAAAACGCCAGAGTAATCTGCTGCCCCTGTCCCAGTCTGAGTCTCACCGTGGGTGTTATTGTTGTTGAGGCCCGTTGGTTGCATCAGACTATCCAACGGCGCTGGCCACCCGTCCGTGAGAGAGGTTGGAATATGCTTGCCCAGCACGACCGGGACAACTATCAGTCCGACAAATAGGGCTAGCATAAGGAAGTATAGGATAGTGTAGCGTAGTACTCTCTTCTTTCTCAACCTCTTCTGCTTCATAGAGTAAATGGGAGGTCGGATTTGCTTGCTAGAACCTTTCCGTCAGCAACAAGAACCCAGTCTATCAGGATAGGATAGCGTACCTTGGACGGAGCCAGAATAACATCATTGAGTGTAGTCTGTCAATATACGGAACCACAATGACGGGAAGCATCGTGAAGAGCAGTATATGCCCCAGGACAAAGTCGGACGCAAATAGGCTCAGCTCAGTAATTTTGCAGATGAACTCACGGGCCGGCTGCGACATAGAATACCAACCCATAGAGTACCACTTTCCGGTCCAGAAGGCGATATTGCTCTGATCTGTCTTCATCTCACGTGTCAAAGCAAGTGAGATGATTAAGTTTATAGCAAATCTCTGGATGGCTACGACCGCAATCATCCCTAGGAGCGTCCTGGTAAAGTTGAAGCCCTCCAGGTAAAACATGACCTCAAAAGATGCAAGAAGACCAATGACGGCAAAAGTATGAGCGATAGCAGCCAGAACGCTGCCAAAGCTGCGACAACACATGCTAAGCACTGGTCCCATGCAGCAGGCTAAGCCAAACATCGACACGGCAGCACCAATGTTGATGACAATCGGGGCGAATGCTACAATGAGCACTCTGACAAGCGACCCAGTAGAACTTGCGGTTTTGACGTTATCTATGACTCCCGTCTGCGCATTGATGAACATGTAGGGGATCAAAGTGGCCGCAAGAAGAATAAGCGGCACAAGAATCTCAGCGGCGAAAAAGTTCAAGAAACTAGGCCGAGGAATGTCTGCGGACTTGTTTGCGCTAGGTTCTCCGATGACCTTCCGCTTATAGCCGGTAATCTGTGTTCTAGACAGCCGACAGTAGGAGATCCAGGAGGCGGCGTGGGACCGTGAATTTCCTCGCGATAACCAACGTATAAATTCCCGATAGTCAATAAAAAAATCGCTCCATGCAAATTGATGAGGGTTGAACAAGAATGGAGAGATACAAAGGGCAAGTATGGACACCCAAAAATACGTCAAAGCCGCTTGCCAGATCGTGAGGGTTGCGAAGAGCAACATCATCAGTGTGCGAGCTCCAAGATAAATGGATGGCCCAGCAAACCGTGAATAGAGAATACCGAACGGGATACGAGCAGTAGCGAATCCGCGACCGGTGTTAATATACCGTGCTCCACCAAATGACAGATTTTGTTGGACGGAATTGGCGTAAATCTGAATGACAAAAACTTCAAAAAACGGGGAGAGTGAGCAAATATGTCTCATGAAGCGAAGGCCTGCTCGAATAGGCCCACGATCTGCCAGCTCGTGGATAACAAGAGGTATGAATGAGAGGAAGAAAACAATAAAGATTGATAGAACGCTACGATAGACCCAGTCTGTAAGTGCGTCGGTGTTTTGACATCCGGTAGGAAACAGAGGATCTGTAATAGGAACATGGCGGCTATAGTGACAAGGGATTGTCTCATGTCGTAGTGCCCCGAGACTGAGGAGGGTGACCATAAACATCTGGACTGATAGCATGATGAAAATATTGTTGATATGAAATCCAGGATGGGCGTAGTAGAAAGATAGGAAGCGATCTAAAGGTAGCTGCGTCCCAAGGTAATAATATTCTCTTGAAAGCATCTGTTCGCCCATACCAGTTCCGATTTTCGTTGTAAAGTTAAGAATAGACCCAAAGCCTAAGTCTCGACCTTTTCCACATTGATAATATTCACAATGCTTGATTCGGCCACCTCGTAATATTGCGGTCATTCCAGCAAAAATATCCTCATTTAGATGTAATCCTTTCTGGGCTTTTGACACACCGCCACGAGTAGTCATAAAGATACCGTTGAGGAAGTCAGGATGGCCATAATGGAGCTTGCCACCGATTTGGGCCATTGTACGGGCAAACAGAGTACCAAATGTTTGTTCTTTGCCAGCGGCAATATCACCGAGAATGCCAATGTTCTCCGAAAATATATATTCCCGTGCACCTAAGATTGCGACCGGAGGGCCGACCTTCTTAGCTGAGGGTACATATGGTGATACATCGTCGACTGTCATCTCCTCGAATTCGGCTAGAACGCTGCGGATTTTCAAGCATTCTTCTAAATAGTTGTCCTGGTTAGCGTCTATAAGTTGAATATATTCGCCACGGTAGAAGATAAGTGCATGATTCTGATTATCAGACTTCCCATCGCCAAGTATCGGGTTGCCAGACAGCTGAATACGGAACTTTGGTCTCCTAATACCATTTTCGAGGATTTCGGAATGACCATCGATTAGTGTTGAGTATATCCTTGGCTCCTCTCCTTCAGTGACTGGCGGATCCTCATCGAGATATGCGATCTGTAAATCTGGATAGGCCCTAAGGAGAAATTCGACGTTTTCCGCCTCTTCCTTTTTGAACTTTGTATACCGTTGCATAGACACACAGATTTTGAATTTGCGGCGTGCCATACGCTCAAGTTCTCTCTCAAGCTTATCCGTATTTTGACCAAGGTACTGTACTATCTCAGGGTTTTCAACCCTATAAAGTAGCTTGATAGCTCGAGCATAGTTCATGAAACCAGAAACAGTACGGTAAAGGGTTTGAGACCGAAGGGAGGCCCAGATTCGTGTTCTCAAAATATACTCGGGAGCCGAAGACTTAAAACCGATACAGTAGAAAGGCAAGTCATCAATTTTGCTCTTTTGAATGTCTCCTGCTGACTGTGACGTCTCGTCAGCTAAGACCTTTGTGTCTTCAACAAAACACTCCCACTCATGAGGGTATAGCTGTTTGAGGTATTCTAATAGTGTAACTCGCGAATAAGGTTCATCTTCACGAATGATTTCCCTAAGAGATAGCAAAATCTTTTCGCTATAGTGTGGAATTAAGACAGTAAAGGTCGGCATATTATCGATCGGGACTGGCTCCGGAACAGGTGTTGACAGTGATTGTGCAAAAAAGGAAAGACGACGCTCTGCTTCGCTATAGGTCGGGAAATATTCCGTCTCAAAAGCTTGATCATCCTGCGAGCTAAAGAAGGTTGGAGCACGTAAAGTGCGTTTACCTTCTTGCTCAGACGGCACCTGGTGGTATAGTAGCTTCTGTACATGCTCGATAGATAAAAGGTGCTCCCGGTACATTGAAATGATGACTGCATTCCAGATCTGAGAGATCAAAACCTTCGGTTTATATTTGATCTCCATGTGGTTAGTTGCGAGGACTTTCGAGTAAATACGCTTAGGGAGTCGTAAGAATATGTTTCGCCATGGTGTCAAGACAGTGCTTCCTAAGAAAAATGATCGAATGATTGAAAATACCGAGTTTACCAAGATATACCATAGGTAGGTATCGAGGAAGAAAAAGACAAGATCGGTAACGATCATTAGGATAAGAAGGATAGTAGGTTGTCTTTTGCATAGTACGTTGCCTATGATAGAATCTCCAAGGCAAGTAGAGACATCCATGATAGACAGATATCGGATAGGGTCGCGGATCGATAACGTAAGATAAACGTATGATTCGCCGAACTTAGCACCGAACACGGTAAGCCATAGCCCAAATGATACGACCCTGTCGTTAGGATCTAGAGCAGGAAAGCTTGCGGTAAAGCTTTTGCTAGCTGTATGTTTGTGTGCCTTAATGAAAAAATTGCCGAAGAGGCCACGTAGCGGCATGATTGAGAACCAGATATAGGTCCCAATGGCGATAAGGAACTGCACGACTCCAAGGATGTGCGCAATTTTGCTTTCTTGCTTAGTTTGGTAGGCTGCGTCGTTACTAGCGGGCATGAAGATGTAGACGCTTGGCGCGATATTGATGATCAATACAACGATCAGGACTACGAGACGCACAGTCAAGTTCTCAGCTCCGGGCCATCTCCGGGGCACGAATGTCCATTCTGCCAATGTGGCGAGTATCTGTATAAGCGCTGCCAGGCCACCTCCCAGGGCCACGATGGACAGCTGAGCCGACGCCGGAGGTTGCTGATTCACTTGCTGCTCATAGTTGTGGACCAGAAGAGTGGGAGCGTTGTGAGCGGTATAGAACCAGAACATGCATATATGAATGACCCAGATCCGGTTAAAGTTCGTCAAGAGGTGTGACCACGAACGAGTCTCTCTGTAAGTCTTGAAGAAACACTTCTTCCAGTTGACGCCTTTGAGATTGATATACCGCTCAGCTGAAGGCAGATCAATGAGCCTCGTCTTATCTTCAAGAATAATACGCTCGATTCCCTCAGGGTACCAAAAAAGTTGGTTACAGTCATCATATCCAATGATCTGATGATGATCCTTCTCCCGGCGTACATATACGCCATCGAGAATCTCGTAGCCTTGGTCGCGGCAGTATTGGTATAATGGGGTAATGACGTTGTTAAGGTAGCTGTAGTCCTCAGCTCGTTCAACTTGACGGTCGTAGGCCGCGGAGTTGAGATAGTCTTCGGCACACTTGTAAATAAAACATAAGGCCTCCGGCATAAATCGCACCTGGTTAGCCTCACCCCAGCAAAGGAGATATAGTGCTAGCTGTCTTGTACGATCGTACTGGGACAGGTGGTTCATACGAGACTTCCAACGAGACTCGGCTGTTTCGAGAGAATCGTCGTCATCTTCAATGGAGGTATCATCCTGAACTTCATTCTGAGTCGTAGGCTTTTTGCCCGCTTTTTTTGCCTTCGCCTTTTTTGATTTGGAGGATCCAGTACCGCGATCGAGGCCTCGAAACGCTGCAAAATACCACTTCTTGTAGTTCGCATTGTCTCCACCGATGTAGTCGGCGTGCAAAGATAGTAGTGACTGGTTGGGGGTCATGCGCGATGCTCTAGAGTCAAGTAGAGTCATAAAATGATCATACATATTCCTCATACTGTCGCGTTGAAACCCGAACTTGTCAGTGAGATCGACGAAGATCTGCTCGATCTCTTCTTTGGTAAGCGGGATATCGCCGTCAGAAGTCCAGGCAGGATACGGTTCATGAAGGCGCTGCATGAAAGGGGTAGCGTTATTGTAGTCTAACTGTTCGTTCAGGATGGAGTTTCTGGATGACCTGTTCACGGTCTCCGGTGTTTGTGAAAAGGCGCGATCTCGGAAGGCCGGCGGAATATCTCCATAGTAGCTGCTGTTTTGCTCATCATAGTAACCGTCATCCTGCTGAGCTACCATGGCCCTGTGGGATCTCATGAAGCTTGCTTGGCCTGTCTCTAACTCTTCCTGAGAACCGGTCTGCCAGCGTGTACTTTTGCCATAGCTATCAGGAGTGTCTTCCTGACCGTATTTGTTGTAATCATGGCTCCAATTCTCGTCGCGTCTTTGGTCGTAGCCCTCGTAGTATCCACCGTCTTTATAGTACGGGTTGTTGGTGTCTGGGTTGTAATAGCCACTGAATATCGAGTACGGTAAGCATTTGGTACACTTTCCAATAAAGAAATTACATACAACTCATCGTAGTACCCATTTTGTCCCTGATCTGTGAATCCCCAAGAATCGAGGCCGCCATCTCCGGAATGCTGGTGATATTCATCTGAATTATACATATCGTGGCTATCGTCATATCCATGACTTGCATCGTCGTAACGATACCTGGCTCTCTCTTCAGACATGATGGAAGACACTGTAGGCAGTAGCGTTAGAACTTGATCAGAAAAAATCCATAATCTATTGACGAAAGCGTCTAGAACTCAAATGGAATTGTAGTATTGACTTTATGCACGGCAGACGTACAAGCAAACAGTTATTGAACGCAAGAATCTGTAAATAACTTCCAGTGTCCCAGTTTAATGATGGCTGAAGGGATTGTAATAAACAGGGAAAGAATGGCAGGGGAAAACCACAAAAGCTTGGAGCATGGATAAAACGAGGGTCTAGGATCAGTGGGTACCAAAGATGTGGACAGACAAGTAAGGCGGAGCTCGTCGATTCCATATATCCTCAATCCATCCTTAGTATGCCCCTTTAGGCACTACCCCTATCGTATTTCCCGGGCTCTTGCGGCAAACAAGCGCCTCCGCCGTCTCGTAACGGTTCGCCTATTTAGATACTACGCGTAATCAGCTATGGGCCCGACTTGTTTGATCAAAACTTTGTATGGGTTGCAAGAACGGCCAGTGCTTTAGGGTGTGAAGTTTGGAATGGCTTTGATGAATAGAAGAATGAGGAGGAGCCCGGAGTATATATACATGCATAATACGCGTGTTCAGGACAGTCCCATCCCCCCTCCCCCTAAGACCTAGAGCCCGCCTCTACTTGTCACGAACTAGGACTAACGCTATCTGCGTGGCGCCATTTGCATGGCGGTACACACACGGGTTTTCATCAGTCCTAGCAGCTTGTCTGACGTTATTTTTAGTCTATATGTGTTCTCTTCATCAACTAACGATACAGGGTTTCAAACGCCCACAGGTACTACGGTGGACCTGCGACAGCCCCGATGCAGGTACGGAATGTAACACCCACAATTTTGCCGGATTCGCTCTCGGCATTGAGCTTACTGCGGACTACTCTATATCTACCCAAATAAGATAGTCAGCTCTTGGCGGGAGGATGGAGGATACACAAGCCCACTCTCTTGCCGATGCTTAATTCTTGACCACCTATGAAATACGCTCAATAATGCAATCGCACGGGCACCTCACTGCTTATTCAGCGGCCCTTGCGCGCTAAACAATAACAAGACACCCGAACCGGGAGCCATTCTCCAGAGTCCGGCCTCGAGAGAAAGGTGACCGGCTCGTCCGGACTCATTGGAATGGCAATGCTCGACTCTCAGTGCGGCGACTATGCTGACTCCTGAGTACTCAAGTAAATCTTATTCGAGTCTCCACAAGTTGAAAGGGTGTGTGAGAGCTAGTCTACGGAGATAAAAATTTTGTGTAGATGCATAATACGCGGATCCAACTCCACACTATCTGGCTCATTTTTGCTAGTTACACGTATCGGTAATGTTTTGACAGGGCGCATAGGCGCTACGAGACAAGATCTACTTGAGCCCTCCGCCACAATGAGATACGTGTCTCGCTGGAAACCCGGGAGCTAGTGTAACCTTTGCGGATAGGACGCCCCGGAATGCGGAAAAAAAAAAACCCCTTCCCTTATGCCTACTTCGGAATCGGGCATCGAACCCCTGCCAAATTTTGCTATAAACCCAAACAGGCGCCCAAACGGTACATTTCGATACCAAATGCGTTAAATACGTTCCTACTACTACGAAAATCTGTTAATATCAATTGAGGCTATGTTCAACTACTCACATATAATCGAATGACAAAAGTAACGCACACTCTTCATTTTTTCACCTTTTATTTTCTATACCCTTTTTAATAATACGCTAAAACGCAATCAATTTATATATCAAAAATAAACAAAAATACTAGCGTTTACCAAAATGAAAGGACTCTATACAGTTTCTTTTTAAAATATTTTGTATATCATCTATTTGCTTTGATAACTACTTTTAAACGTCTTCTCATTATTACTATCAACTTTCTTAATAATTTATTTTTAAACTATTCTTATATATTAATCGTAGTTTAGATATACAATTAATTTTATGCTAATTTAGCTATAAATATATTTATATTATCTTAAGTGAAGATAGAGTCAAGCTTATAAATTGTAGGTAGATTCTCTTATAAATACTCAAAAAGTTATACTAAAAAGACATCTTTATTTTAATATTAAATCTTTTGATAGTAGCTATAATAAAGTATTAAAATCATATGAAAACATACTCTAGAATATTTAAGAATGTCTCATTAGCTTGATTATGACTCTATATTCTTTGGATATAATCTCTTTTGCTAGGATATACTAATAGCTGAGAAGTATATAAGTAAATAAACTTATAGTTTCATATTAAATATTGACCTTAACGTTTTCTTAGGGGAGCTTTAAGTTGTTTTGCACTATTAAGACGCTATAGGGCTAAAGCGGGTTTGTTTTATAGATTATTAGAATAGTCTATATAGATTATACTAGTAGCTAGATATCCCATGTCACCCCATCAACAAACTCTCTCTCGCTCTCACTTTCAAAGCTTTCGCTTCGTAGTTTGATTCGTTCCCCCATATTAATTGGATCCCTAACGAAGGGCGGGGTGGCTTACGCCAGAGGCGGATATGTCCGTTGCTGATCCTGTGTCAGGGCCAGGAACCAGGCCGCTGCCCCTCCAGCACTAGACCCGGCAGTCAAGTATGGTACTTCATTGTCTAGCAGTGGAGTGACATGAGGGCATCTTTGACTTTTGGACGAAGTTTCCATATTGAGGCTGAAGAAAACAACCCTTCGAAATACGTCGAGAGAATCATGCTTGGGTAGGTCTTTGGACAGAAGAGCTCGCACGATGTCACTCTTCGAATTGCCTGCTGAATCATGATTTCATGTAACTCCAATGTGTATCGTAATAAAGGGCAAATACGAGCTGAAACGTTGTCTCCGTTTGTAGGCAGGCGTCGCTCTCATTGAGATCATCGCGCGGCCGTCGACGTGCTTGCTCCATTGAGGCTTAACCCGAGCTAACCAACGATATTATGCAGCCTGCTGATGCATCAGGCAATGATCACCTAGAAAGATTTTGCGACTCGTGGTCAAGGCTTTCAAGTACTCATCATATAGAAATCCCTGCTCAACAAGTTATAGAGTCTGTCCATACTAACGATTCCTTTGCTTCTGGCCTAAAGTTTGCGTTCTCATCGATAGCTCAACAGCTTAAAAAATACCTGGACGATCATGATTTCTCAACATGATGTTAAGGACAAGAACGTCAAAAGGAGCTAGATGAATCATAGCTCTTCACAATTTCCCCCTATCTGCTAAGGGTACCCGATCAACACTGAAAAACGAGGAACTGTTGCTGCTGCTTTTCTATAAAATCGAGAAAGAAGGTATACACGCCTAAAATCTCAAGGCGGTCTGCAGAAATCCGTCAAAGGCAAGACATATCTTTGAAATGAAGTTCTAAGCTTCTGGCCTCCATGGGTTCTCTTAACAAACACGCTTGTACAATACTCAACTACCAGAAATCAAGTTGTTGACATTTGTTCAACGCTAAACAAGGAGTACTGATAACGATCAATGACTATTGGGAGCCAAGGACAGTGCCAGCCTTCCGTTCACTTGCTGCCTTTCGACAAATTGGGAGCCGTGTGTACCTGCATCCTCGTGTTTGTGGAGAGCAGCAGGCTTTCCAAACCTCAGCCCACACAGAAACGCCGGGTCCAAAACGAAGCTTGAAAGTCGCACTGACCTCATCCAGTCAATCGCCCAAGCCGCGAATGTGTAATGAGTGCTGAAGCAACCATCTAGAATGAGTATCATGCATACGGGGATATTTGAGGATGATACTAGTTCCTCTGTCAATTCTGTCTCTCGCTGCGTAGATGAGTACTTTGATGTATCGTCTAGTTTCAAATTGCCGTCATAGAAGCCCCTTTGATAGCTGTTCATAAAGAGTCTACTCATGGAGAAATACAAAAGTGGTGGCTCTAAACATAGGCAGACCAGGTCAGTAGCTATGGCAAGCGCCCGCTATTCCGGTGCTTGCATAATCTGGAGCACCCCTGAACTAATCCAGGTCCAAGTTCTATTTTTGGCGGAGGGAAGGCTAGACAGCGGTTGCAGGAGGAGTACCTAGCTGGACCCTTTTGTGTTTATATACAATAAACTTCCCTGTAACCTGACCCACTCCAAAGCTTGTCACTTGGGGCTTGGTTCATGCTAGCCTCTTCGATACGGAGATTCGTTCAATGCAAATTGTTGTACGCGTGAAAGAATGTAGGGATCTGACCAGTTCCTCTTGATTTAAAACTTCAACATCTTGCGTTGAATATGACGACAGGTAAAAACCGGTTGAAGCTACAATGAGCTTTTCACCATTCCGCACCACTTCTGGACACCTTTGTCTCATCTCAATGTTCACATAACGGCCATGTCGTCTTGCAATGTTCTCTATCAATATGTGCCATCAAAATCAGTAGCGATCATCTTTGCGTTATCCTTCTGCATATGCGCTCTAGTCCATCTTGTGCTGATGTGGCGCTGCAAACTCTGGCTCATGACTCCTGCCATCATCGGTTGCGCACGTGAGTAGTTCTATCTATTCAAATCACTAGCATGATTATTATTGTCATGACGCTATTACTAACAGTTCTTTTGCACTTATAGTCGAAACAACAGCTTACATCGTGAGGGCTGCATCATCCGGTCGAGAGTCCTGTTCCTCACAGTTCTCCACCCAACGCCTCTTGCTATACATCTCTCCCGCGTTAATCACCACACCGACGTGTGTGATGCTGAACCCTCCAGTCGCAATCAATAGCAGCAACTACAAAGCATTCTTCGCTTCTCGTCAAATGATTTTTGGGTTGCTTGCTAGTAATTTGTTGTCTTTTCTGACAGAGCTTGTCGGTTTGTCTTCCCCGAACACGGAGAGTCCATCAAATTTGGCCAACTTTGATATTA